CTGACATGACGTATTTTATCCATGGACAAATCATTACTTTCTTAATCCTCAAGTCAATATAGGGCAGTTAAAACTAATGGCCTTCTCTTCATGCTGAATGATCCAGTCAAGGACAAACACAGTAAATATGTAATTCTGCATGGACTTTGTAACTGTTAAGAACCTTTCTAAGATTGGAATTGCTGTGATCTACGTGATATATAATTCATGCTATGTGTTTGTTGTGCAGTAAGATGAGATCCTGTTATATTGGAATTTTGATTTCCATGGCAACTAATCAGAACCACAAGAGTTTCATTATAACAGAAGTTGGCTAAATACATCCAAATACAGAAAGTTCAGTTGTAGTCACATTAGTCTGTTAGAGCTAAAACTGCTATAGCATTGGCATTGATATTAAAAATTGGTAGCCATAGAGTAAATTGAAATAGTTCCAAGTGTGAAATGTTTAAAGATAATGGACGAGCAGTTGGGGAAACTGAAAGTTGGCTTAGTAAAGGAAGCAGATGGTGATGATAATTGCAAAATGACCAACTGGTGACAATCAGTAAGCAACTAAGTAGGGTCTCCTTGGAGCTGAACCGACTCCAAGTTGACCTGCTCGGTGATGGAATGTCAGAATTGAGTCAACCCTCTGTGGTGGTTTCGATCATCTGGTTCCTGAGCCAGGCAGGGCCAAGTACTCCAGGATCACTGGGAGCAGTGATTCTTCCTACATGGATCCTGTTAACACTACAAGTGAAAGCTTTAATGGGATCGTTGGTCTTAGCTGGACAACCACCTTGACATTTGCCAGACAGTGCTCAAAATAACAAGCTATGTGGGTTAACTAGTTAAACTCAAGCAGTACCCCAACACACACTCTGGGGCCCTAAATCTTAGCTCCTGCTAAGATGTGCCCAGTAATCCAGAATTATTTCTAAGATTGGAATTGCTGTGATTCCAGAATTAGGTAGCAGGGTGGGTCCTTCTGGTGAGAGAGTGATCTTTGCCTTTCCGACACAGAGTAAATGGCATATATATATTGAGCTCTCAGTCTGGTTTGGGTTCTCTTAAGCATGGAGGTGGGTTTCCACATGTGTCAGACATCCTGAACAAAATAAACAAACAAACAAATAAATGGGAAAAAGCTGCCAAGGAGAGCAATCATTTGCCGAGTTTTTCAAAGGAATTTTCTATTCCACTATTGTTCATGTATTCACAAATTATTTGGAGGGAAGCACTTCTAATAATATTTTAAAACATACTGCTAATACCAAGCTAAACAGTGTAAGGAAGAGGACCTGAAGCTTTGCATTATACTTGTACAGAACTCTCCTCAGTCGTGGGGAATGAAATATTGGAGTAGGAAATATAAAAAGTTTATTAACTCACTTTCAGCTGTATAAATGTGTAAAATTCATTATACAACATGAGATCCCTTTGACAACAAAAAATGTAGGATGTTCAACTGAAGTTCATTTTGACCATAATGAGGATGAAGAAATCCACTACCTCTTAAGTTTACTTTCATATTAATTACAAAATAATAGTATAGAAAACAGATTTTTTCGACAGCAGCCAAGCTTCTGAATTTACAGTGTTGTTTTTTTAAAAGTACTTATCTAGATAAGCAACACAATTGCCTGGGAATTAAATGTTTTTGAGGTCCAATAATCACACAGTCATTTGCCAGATACAGCCAAGTTCCAAAGTAAAACAAAGCTGCAGTTACTCTGCCCTGACTACATATAGTTGGGGCAGGGTAAGTGCAGCTTTGCTTTACCTTAAACCCAAATTCAAAAGGACATCCTCCACAATTGCAGAAATGCAAACCCTCCCATCACACAAACCAGCCAGTACAGTGATAAACTTGTATAAAATTGTGCAATATTTTCTGCTGTTGGCATACACCCAATTGTCAAGACTGGGCTCATTCTGCCAAAATTCAATTCAAATTAAATCCTCACAGCCAGAAGAAAAAGTAGACCGTAATGCCATCTGTTTGGACTGGATTTAAATCAAACTTTGGGAGGAGAAGGGGCAGTGATCAACCTATTACACCACTCGGTTCCCCTAGCTGCAAAGAACAAAATTAGATGTGCAAAGTATTGAAGATACATTTGATTACACTGTTCAGTACTGCATTAGGTATCCAGTCCACAATGTTAAATGAAGGGGCCCTGTTTTAGAATACATCATGCACATTCTGTTCACTTTACTGAATTCCACCCTTTATAATTAAATCAAATGAAATGGGGAAGGGAGGTAAAATGTCCATGTGATGTGATAATTCTGTGATGTGATAGTTCACATTTTTCACTTCACCATCATTTATTTTCAGTTTCTATATTCTCCTTTAAATGCTCAGGGCTGCACTGTTGTTTATTTACCAATGATTCAACCTTAAACAGTTACAATTTACTTTCCAGACTTCCCTTTAAAGTTACCAATGATTCCACCCAGCATATGGAGCAATCCCAATTTATTTGTTCAAAGTACGTACAGTATTGTACAACATTTGTGTTGAGAAACCCATATCTTGCCACTATCATGGTGAGATACTAAATGTCTAAATTTTCCCTGTAATGACCAATTTTGCTGATGATGATTGTGTATGAATCAATTTGAGTGGTTTCAGCTCTGGCTATATCCAGACATCATGTTCCCTATCCACACATGGTCTGGTCAGGTCACTATTAGAAGCTCAGCCACTGAGTCACTGTGAGCCTCTGGAGATTGGAATTTGGAACTGTTGACAACATAGAAATTCCCAGCGATGTCCTTCCTAACTGAGCTCTTTGAAAGGTGGAAACATTAAAACATCATGAATTAAGATATTTACTGTGATTCTGAACAATGTAAGGGCTCAGAGATGCTACCCTGTGTGAAGGGTGCTATATAGATGCAAGTTGTTATTGTTGTTAATATTACAATACATTATTTATTATTACAATTTGTAATCATTTTTCAGGCACTACCTGGAGAAGATTTATATTCCAAAAACTTAAAAGTCTTTCTGTTCAGTCCAATGGAGTTAAATTGGTAGCACTCTCACTTCTAACTCAGAAGTTTGTCGATTTAAGTTTCATTTCAGGGCTTTGAGCTTAAGGTGCAGGCTGACATTATAGTGCAGTGCTGGAAAAGAGCTACATTGCTGTCTATCGGATGAGAATGAGCCATTAAATCAAGGTCTCATTTGTCTATTCAGATAGATATTACACTATTCGGAAGGAAACTGAGTTTATTTTAGTGTCCTGGCCAATAATCTTCCAGAAAAATTTGGTCATTCATTTCATGGCAGTTTGTTGGGGCATTGCTGTCTGCAAATTGGCTGCTGTGTTTGCTTACAAGTATAGTTAGTACATTTTGCAGAGAACTTTGTGAAGCACTTTCGAGATATTTTGATGTAACACATGACAAATCAAATGCAAGGATTATGATTCTAAGTGCTATTATAAGCTCTATGAAGATACAGTTGGGAAACTCACCACATTACCTGGAGTGATACTGAACCACGTAGATTCAGTTCAGTGAGCTTTTAGTGAAGGTGCATCGGGGCAAGCTGTGATTCTCTCTAAGGTTAAACAAGCTGCTGATAAACACTGTTTTGATGGGCATGGAACTGAACCCAGGATTATTCATTGTTTTTAGGTGAGAACATGAGATGAGAGGAACAGCATTAAAATGAAACTGCGTGGCTGAAAAATTATATTAATGGGGTGTACCTCCCTCCACTAACCTTGCCCCCTCTTTCCCCATTTTCAGGTGGCACCTGAAGACCTTCCTCTACCGTGCCTATGGTCACCTTCCCCCTACCCCTGGCTCGGCATCGGGCTCTACCAGTGCTCTGGGGCACTGCCCGGTGTGGAGGGTGCTATATAAATGTAAGTTATTGTTGTGTAGTAATAACGTGTATCCTCTCTGGAATACTGGTGTTATTATTATAATCCTTGTGTTTGATATTGCGCCTTATCACGTCGTTTGTGGGCAAAACACAGTCTTCTTAAGCAGCCCTAAGTGGATGCCCTCAGTCACTGAGCTCCACTTGCTCTCCAGACTGGATGTGAGTGCTGTGCTCTAGTTTGCTGCAGTATCACAGCCCAACGAGACAGTAGCTCTCACACACCATCCTACCTTCCAGAGGTGAACCTCTCAAGCAGATGATGGTGTAGCATCTGGCCGGGCAATGCCATCCCCAGAGCAGGAATTTGGGGCTGAGGAGGGGAGACAGGAGAAGAGGCACTGATCTAATAAAATCAGAGGATTGTCGTCTTCCAAAACACTAGGATTTTCAACTGCAATGTGACTGGTGGACAGTACTGGGAAGAATCACCTCGAAGAAGAGTTCTCTGGAAACTCTTAACCTTTACCACAGGAGGAGCCCCTGTCCCTGGTTACAATACCAAGCAGCAGCTGCAACAAAACATCTTGGATCTATCACAGGGCGTCACCTCCACCTTTTACCTGTGCAATAACATTTGACTGTGAAAGAAAGCGTTGGGGTTGGGTTTGATCATCTGTGTGCAGGCAAACCCGCTCAGAAGTGTATCAGCCTTCCACACAGAGCAATGCAGACAGCGGGAACAGAACCCACGATTGCACAAAAACATCTGAGCATATGGGTTGCGCTGAAGCTATTGCTTCTGTGGGCATTTTGGTATTGCCTTCCTTTAGCATTAGAGCAGAAACCTCGTCTGCTCTGCATCGCCCAGAACTGAGCTGTTTCAGATAAGACTTTCTGGATCGGGATCGGGATCGGGATCGGGGATCAGGTCCAAGTTAGTGACCACACGCACAGGTTCCAGGGGTTGCAACACGGATCCAAGTCACTTGAAACCGATTCCTAACCAGAGGGGGAAAAAAAAAAAGTTTGTCCCCTTCGAAACCAATGCGGTCACTGGTACCACATCCGCAGAAAGGTGGGTCGGTCCCCCAAGTTGAGGCCGATTTGCAATTGAGCAGTAAATCCCCCGATACATACAAGTGACAATCTTGACATTTACTTAAGACCAACGTACCTCTGTTACTGCTCCAAAACCCCTTTGGCTCTCTCTCGGCGCTGATGCAGCGGCGCTCAGACTGCGGCAGGTGCACAGCCTCTCATTCTGCTCTCGCTTTTCCCTGTGTGTAAGGTTCGCTGTTGGGGCTGAGTTCACCTCAACTTTTTTTTAATGCACTGAGGAGCTTTTCGGATTTCCCATCTGGGAGGGAGTTCGGTGTTTTTTTTTTCTCCCCCCTATTGCAAGAGCCTTTTTGGTGTGTGTGGTAATGTTCAGCGTAACTGAGAGTTGCAGTGGCGCAGAGGCTCCCAGTGCAGAACTGACTCAGTGTCAGAGCTCTCACAGTGCTCCCCCTGAGCTCCTCTCTGACTGTGTGTGTGACTGTGAGTGTGTGTTTGCTGCCCATCACGTGGGGCTGGACACCGCCTCTGCAGAGACTCTGTGTGAGTCAGAGTGCAACTCACACACAAAAAAGGGAAACTTCAGATCAGGCTCCACTTTTTCATCACCTTCCAAACACAATTACACATCGATCCCCCACCATCCCCATCCCCTCCCCATCCCCATCCCCTCCCCACACAGTGCACACATTTCAAAGAGCCTCTGGATAAATCAGGGACCCCCAGAGAGGCTTCACACTTGCAGGCTGCAATGCCAGTCTTAAAAGTAAAACGAGCTCCTTACTTAACTGGGAGAGAGAACCGATGTGCACAAATAAGTCGTTATGGGTTAGTTGCATTGCACAGCTTACCTCAAAAGTTTGCGCTGGTTTAATGCAATGTTATGAAAAAAAATGTTTGCACATTAAGCTTGATGCGCAGTCGGCTTTAATATTTCTAGTAAACAACCCACATTGCCGTGGGCTCTTTACTTATTATTAAAAATTAACCCATATACTGAGCAGCAGAGCTCTCTCTGTGTGTGTATTGCTAAGTCTGCAAAAATAACTCGACTGGCAGCCCATAATTTGCTGCATGGTTGAATTCTTTAGGTACCTAATACACTACTACTACCACTACTACTACTACTACTAACAACAATATTACTAATTTTAATATTATTAGTGTTAATAATTGTAATAACAACACAACTGTTTGTGGGACACTGCTGTGTGCAATTGACTGCCACGTTTCTCCCACAAAATATACAATCAATTCACTTTACATCATATTCTGTGAAGCGCTTTGACATGTCTTAACAACATGATTAGGCACTATATCTAAATGCAAGGATTATTTTTATTATTGTTTATTATTAATACAGACAAATGCAAGGGTTAGAAAATGAGGTGAAAACAATATTTTCAGATAGAGACCAGAACAACAAGGCACAGATTCAGGACTGTAAATGGCAATTTCAGGACGGACATCAGGAAATAATTCTTTGTTCAGAGGGTAATTAAGGATTAGAAGGTTGAGGCCAGAACACTGGACTCATTTAAGAAATGGCTCGATGCTGTGATGGTGGACAATGTGCAAGATTGAGATTAAACAAGCCTTCTTTATTTGAACCGTTCTTGCAATCTTGTGATGTCCTTTTTACGCTGTTGGAAACCACTATTCAGAGTAAAAAAGATTTATACTTCCTGTTCTGGCATACCCTCAACTAGGATTGAGGAGAGTTGTGCAAATCACTGTCTAACCCTTTTTGATTTATTGTGCTAAAGATTCTGCTCCACTGTCTGCCAACATAAAAAGTTAGTGGACAGTCCTATGGACCATCTAAGAATGTTTAAACTTTTCTTTTAAAAAGTTATCGGTTGTATTTTTAAATAGATTAAAACTGCAGTGGTGGTATTGGGTAAATTCCTGAAATCACCACCTGAGGTGCCTCAGGAATTTATTCCCAACACAATAATTGCACCTAAGAGCTGATTTATTCTAGAATTTTTCTTTTTATTACACACAAAAATGACATCACTGCACAAGAGAAGTGCAGTTTATATCACATCTATTATTGAGACATTATCACACTTAGTTGGTTGAAAAATGTGATTACTTTTACTCTATCCTTTCTGTAAAGACTCTGTATGTTTCGTAGAAATATATGAAACTAACAGGAGTACATCATTCAATCTGTGGAGCCTGCTTTCATTGTATTAAATAAGAAAGTTCTTTATATTTTTAATCTGATTTTGCTGTTCTTTCTGTTTATATTCATATCCTTACTTCTCTAATATATTTCTAGACCTACGTCTTTCTGTTCAGATGGGTGCTAAAGATCCCATTGGAACAAGGGGAACCGCAATGCATGAAAGCCCTGGACTCCCTGTCCCCTTATTCTAGCATAAAGTTCCTTCTGGGATGGTTCTCTGTATTCACCACATTATGAAGGACTTTATTATAGAGAACGACTTCTGAAGCAGTTCTCCCGTGCTGACTCCCAGCCCCACTGTTGTAGAAACCATTCTCTTTGTATTGCAGAGTGGTTTCCACAGCAGCCAGATCCACTATAAAACAAATGAGTAAGTCATTTACTTTAAAAGCGCCTATTTTGTTCAGTGACACAATGTATGGTATATAAATTGTGTTATATTTATTCTGTAATATGATTCAATGGGATTGAAAAGGTGTGGTAGTGATACTGATGCCTGGCTGGTGGAAAATCATATTGCAACATAAACACTCTTAGAATAGGTGACACAAGTCAACCTGATATAGAGAGAATCCCCTCTATGTCATGTTGACTTGTGACATCTATCCTAAGAGAGCCTCCGAGCTAAAGTTTCACAAATTTTCATGAAACTCCTGCTGTGAACACACATTATATCATGAAGCAAATTGTCTGGCAGTCAGGTATCACCAATAGTAACTGAGCAGTCGTTCAACCCCATTATATAGTTATGACTGCCATTACCCCTTGTAGATTATTCATATGCCCAGATTGATACTGATGGCACCTCTAAAATCAGCAGCTAAACTTGCAGGATGAGTTAAACAGCTCTGCGCTATTGGAGGAGGCAGTGACAACTGTTGTCAAAGAGACTCAGCAGGCAGTGTAATGACAGCAAGGCTGGGAAATAAACAGCCCAGAAAAAAGTTCCTGACACAGTTGCCTGATAGAAAATGCAGATTTTACGTTTTTGAACTGGTCTTTGTTTACAAACTTGCTATCTTCTACTATCCATCATTCATTTTGGAGGTGGATGTAGATGTTTTTAAAGAACGTTTTGTTGCCTAAAAGACAGCTTTAAGGGCTGGTTACCCAATCTATCAAAAGTTAATATTTGGCAGCCTGACGGAGGAATCATAGGTTAAGGTTTATTTTCATGTGTAAAATTCATAATTATAAAAAATGGTATTATAATCCATATGAAAGAGTGTTACTAATATACTTGTCCATTTACCCATCACCCTCACTGCTGATAGTCTCTACACTGTGATGCTTGGAGGGTGACATACAAATGGTGCGCACTAATATCCGGGACTTAATGCAATTCCTTAAAGAGGAATAATAAGGCACTTCACTTTGGAAGTAGATGAAGTTGGAGTGGAGTTCCCATGGGTTACTCCGTAATTCTTCCAGATACCAAAAGAAATCCCTATTTGCGCAATTTAAATTCTTTATTAAGGGATCCCATCAAGAAATACCACAAAGTAAACTCCAATGTGTGTTGTGATGCCAAGAACATCATCACAGATATATGTGTGCTACTATCGTAAGGACACAGGGCTATTCTTAGCAATTCTGGATTAAACAGGAAACTCACTGAAGATATGACTATACAGAAGTTAGCTTCCAGTTAAGAAATTAAGTTACATATTTCAGATATGAATTGTAATGTTTTGGAGGTTAAATATTAATTTAATTCTCTCTTTAGCATGTGACAATGACTATTATCTGCTACTCCCTCAAAATAAAGCAGAAGGGCCTCACTCTTCCATGAGGTAAATCTTACATTAGGCATCTTGAAAGTGAGATTTGGTTGTTTCTGCTTTGTAGACAATAGACCATAACGCAAGGAAATATTTTATTGACTGTTGCATATGTATCAGTGTTACTGTTGATCTGTCAAAGCTTAACAATAACAACTTACATTTGTTTAGCACCTTTCATGTAGGATGAACATGTCAAAGATCTTAACAGAAATAATACGGAACACCGAGCAAGAAAAGGGAGATTTAAAGGTGTTATAATAATCCCTGCAGTTGGTATGGCGCTTTTCACATCAGGAGGAAGTCTTAAAACGCTTCATGGGATTTACTGTGAAATGGAATGACTATATAGGCAAATGTGTCAGCCCAATTGGGGTTTAACGTCTCTTCCAAGAGATAGCACTTTCAACAATGCAAAACGTACACAGGGCTGTACTAGAGTGTCATCTTAGACTATGTGAGTTCAAGTCCTTAAAATTATGAAGGGTATGGATAGAGTCAATTGGGAGAAATTATTTCCACTGGTTAGTAAGTCAGTAAAAGCATAAGATAGCTAATAAACAAGCAAAGAGGGAAGTTTGGAGAATTGTTTTCACACACAGAGTAGTTAGGATATGAAATCCCTACTGGGAGCAGCGATTGAGCAAAATCCATATTGGTCTTCAAGATGAAACTAGACAAATACCTTAAAAAGAGTTAGCTACAGGGGAATGGGAAAGAATGGGTAAATGAGACTGAAATGATTGCTCTTGAGGGAGCTGACACATGATATGCTGAATAACAACAATTTACACTTAAATAGCGCCCTCCACGCAGGGTAGCGTCTCAGAGCACTTAACAGTGGTGGAGCCTGACTCCGAGCTTGGGGCTGGGTGGGGGAGGTGACCATAAGCACGGATGAAGAGGAAGGTTTTCAGGTGGGACTTGAAAACGGGGAGGGAGGGACAAGGCGGAGGGATTGAGGGAGAGTGTTCCAGAGTTTTGGGGCGTAGTGGCTGAAAGCGCGACCTCCGATGGGGGGGCAGAGGTGCAAGGGGGGAGTAGGAGGCCAGTCGAGAGGAGGCGCTGGATGGCGGATTGGGGAGTAAAGAGGTCGGAGAGGTAGGGAGGTGTCAGGAGTGAAGGGATTTGAACACGAGTGTGAGGATCTTGAAATTGATCCGTTCGGTGACAGGGAGCCAGTGGAGCCTGGCCAGAACTGGTCAGATGTGGGTGCGGAGTTTGGTCCGGGTAGATATGTGGGTGGCAGAGTTCTGAATGAGTTGGATCTTTTGAATAGTGGAGCTAGGGAGACCGACGAGGAGTGCATTTGAGTAATCCAAGCGGGAGGTGACAAACGCATGCACGTGGGTTTCAGCTGCATTTAGGGTAGGGTACGATTGGAGGCGGGCAATGTGGAGGAGATGAAAGAAGGCGGTCCTGGTCATGGATCAGCTGGGGGTCGAACTGGATGCTTAGATTGCGCACTGGTTCGGTGAGTGTGAGTGATTGACTTCCTTCTGTGCCATAAATTTCTATG